CCAATCGGGGAAGATAAGCACCTCTACGCAGTCTGCTTTGGTATTTTTGGCTGCAATGGAACGTAAAACAGGAGCTAAAAAACAGAAAAAATGAGATTCTCAGTAAATAAAATCTGACAAAACACTTCAATGCAGTAATCTACTTTGGCATTTTTGACTGCAAATGGAACATAAAACAGGTAAAAAACAAAAACAAAGAAAGAGAATAAACGAGATTCTCGGTAAATAAATTCTCACAGAATTTAACATTACTAAGAGTGGTATTCCTGGAGACTAAAATTTTACTTCCAACAGATTTTGTATGAGAGAACTGGGCACTGACTGTCCCATTTTTATAACCAATACTTTCATCTCCTCACTTGAAAGCAAATATTGGGAGGTATTTATGTCAATAAAAGCAGTAAAAATTGGCAAAAGCTTGAAAAAACAGGCTTACAGGTAAATGTGTATACCTGTACGTTGACTAAACATTGTGGACGGTTGAGTGGCTTTCATAATACTGCATGTTTCTTGAGATACATATAATAAACCTTGCACAATTCTCAGATCACTACATTTCATAATGTAAATACTTCTAAATTTCACGGTTTACCAAGTCTACAAGAGCTTTACAAAAACTGGCCAAATATTCATCAATATTCTTTGTCAAAAGACTCAAATACCATTTTGGAGGGGGAACTAAGTAAATTTAAAGAAACTTTTACCTAAACTCAAGGTATTTCTTCTACATATACTACCGAGAAATTAATAATCAGCTCACTCTTCTGATACACCATTTTTGTCCTTTAGGATTTTAAATCAATAAAAGATAAAATAAACTACTGTCAATTCTTCTGATCTAATTTGAATCAATATTGCACTGTAAAAGCAAATAAAATATTTCTTACTATTGTGCCAAGAAAAATTAAAACAGAAATGTATTTTTCTAATGTTCAGCTTGGCCTATTTTCCTTACAGAAATACTGGTATTCAAGAAAAATCAAATGCAGAATATAATAAAAAGAAAGTTTGAGATACAGTGCATGAAACACTTTTCAAAAATAGTTCTATAATATTTCATGAAATAGATCATACAACCACTATAAAATATGAACACAACAGATTTTTTCTTTCTTTCTTTAATTCTTATATATCGTTTTGTGTTATCTGCTATGAATTCTTGCAGTTGCAGAAGTTTAGAGGCATCTGAAAACTCTAATTTACTTATCTTTGTGTTTCTGCACGGGTATAAGCCAAAGCAACAAAATATTACTAAAGTTTTGAAGCTAGAAGCAAACACTTGTGTTATATTCACATTATAATGATTGTGGGAGGAAACAAAATGAACTTAGTTAAACAGACATATAAAATCTTGGGCTTACATTTAGTCATTTACACACCTATTTATATATATTTATATACACACATACATCACTGACAAGTACATTACTGAACATTATGCTTTTACCACAGATATAAATACAAAATCCATGATAATTTACATTATCAACATTGGAAAATGCATCTATTCTTACTTATATTTTCTCTAAGTAACTGACTTTTACTTAAGAAAAAAATCTATTTTGGGGTAAACCAAAAACAAACATAAAATATCAACAAAAATAAAAAGAAAAGAAAAAAATATATAAACATTCAGTTAAGCCATAGATATCTCTTTTTGGCTTCTTGATAAAAATTAAGAGTACCAATGAATTAATGGCCTACACTGGCCTATTGTCTAACACTTATCAATCATACCAACAATAAATCCTATATAAAGCTTAAGGTCCAGTTTCATCTTTGTTACAAATACCACATCCATAATCATCTCAGTGGTAACCATTTAAACCTTTTCAGATCCATACTTTTAACACATCCTGGAACATACAAAAGCTGATCACACATCAAACCATACCACACTTATAAATATATCCTATCAGCTCACTCCCACGCAAGTCGGAAGCTTTATTATCTTTCTCCCATATTGTCGTCTTTCTCTCGCTCTCTCCTAATGAGAAACTCACTGTCTTCTGTGGTTGGATTCTATTGGAGGTTCTGGGTTGTCATGACAAATCTTGGCAGTCATATCTTTGAGAGGTTCAAACTCCTTCTGGGGAACTAGGTCGAACTCGGTGATGAAGTAATAAAAATGCTTGTAACAGGTGTTGACGTGGGCTTCCTGAAAGAGGTAAAAGAGGTTGACTTTTTTGTAGATCCTTTCCTATTAAAATTTCCTTGGCATTCTCTTTGGGATATGTAGTTTTTCTGCTTGACATACATTAGATTTCAATGAATCAGAAATAGTGGAAAGTAGGCATGAATTGAACAACCACTCAATAAAAAGTGCTATAAATACAAGTACTTAAATGGCTTTAAAAGTAATGATAGCCCCCACAAGCAGAACTTGTCCATAGGAGAAAGTACCAACAGAGTACCACTAAATTTGGAGTGAGACCCATGGTTATATTATCATCAATTTTTCTTTTGAAAACAGTAACACTAGAACTACTAGTGGCAGTTTTGCAGAAATCTACATTGTGGTTGAAATAACTAGCATTATTATGCATAAAAATACATAAATGTAGAACAATCATATAGCATAAAATTACCAGCAGTACTTCCTAACTCCTGTAATAAAAAGATACTCTTTCTAAGGTTTAATATATATATATATATATATAATATATATATATATATATATATTATATATAATGAATACATAATCTATCACATACAAGCAACATAAATTGAACTAAACATGCTATAAAATGAGCACGAGAGAACACTTACGGCTCCAATAGCCACAATGCGGTCAAAGTGATGGATATATACATGGACAAAAACCCTGAAGAGACGTGTAAGAATCTTCTTACACAAAGGAATGAAGGCTTTTGGGAAGGGCACATCTGAAAAAAAAAGAAGATAAATGGGACATAGTAAAAGCAAGCTGTTTCAAATATAATCAATTTTAAGAGCAATATTCACAACAGGTCAGAGGATCTCAGAAAGCTTTAAACCTTTTGAGTATTAGTAAACTTATAGGAACAAAGCAAGTGAAGATAAAAAAGATTGAAGACCTAAAAATAATAATAACAATAATGATGTCCACAACAATTATTATAACAATAACAATAACAATAATGATAACAAATAATCAATAATAATAACAACAAATAATCAATAACAATAATAATAATAACAACAGCAACAATAACAACAATGAATATGATAATCATCATTACAAAAATAACAAGAGTAATATAACAATAATAAATAAAATGTTAGTTGAGAACAAATAATAATCTATATGAAAAAAAATAATAACAATAGTGATAATATAGAAATAAAATAAAAGTGACAGCACAGTTCTAGCAAGAACAAATGTGAAAAACGTAATAGTCTTACCAACAGTGACTGGGAAAGTGTGTTCATCATTAATCTGCGTCTCTACCCAATCCATGAGGTGTGATATGTATTGTGGTGCGGGGAGGGCTGTCGGCTTCTTGTACTTCCCACCGTCGGCCCACAAGTATTCAAATTTGGGTCCCCCAGACATGGTCGGGCAGGAACTCTCCGTACAATATTCACATACTGTCCCGTATATCAAGTTGATTCGGTTGAAGAAATCCACCACTGGAGATGGAACAATCATTAAGAATACAGTACTCCTTTTACTTTTAATGATCATAGTATAAATAACAGCAACAATGACAATTATGAAAATAATAATAATAATTATAATTATAATAAGACAATCGACACTACTTGATTGAAGCAGACGAGCAATTTCCATCTCACTGTCTTGCAAACTGTTCAAAATTATATACTAACCATGTACGGCAATCCAGTCATTGAGATCTTCTCCCGGCGGCAGAGTGACCACCGAACGCAGGTTGATTCCCGAGCTGAGCGACGCCTGCGCCTGCTTGTGTAGTGAGTACTTGAGAGTCCCAGGCTCAAATTTCTTCTTTGGCCTGAAGGTCTGCAATTTAATGGGACTCTGTATATTTGCGTGTTACTACACCTAAGCCACCTTAAAACCCATTTGTGATCTACCATAAGTGTGTGTAAGGTATGTGTCTGTGATTAATAATATCTAAGTGATTTCTAAGCAGACTCTTTAACTTCACTTCATGGTGAGAAAGAGAAAAGAAAAAAATATATTATCACATGAAATTCCAAGTCTATAAAATACACACATTAATAGTCAACAATCACTCTTCTATAGAGTATTATATGTTAATTATATCCATGAGTCCATGTTTAGAAGACACACACACACAAATGTAGACATCCAGACAGACAATGTAATTACAACAATAAAATACATGCTAGTATATATCATGTGACCCACCACCACATACATTAATAACAAACTCAGATGATTGGTTTACTGATTAAACATGTATTAATCATATATGCATCAGAAGACACACGGGACAAATGGGTAGTTCATGTAAAGCCTGTTAATGACATGCAATGGAGGAAACAATGATGTTCAGAGAGCAAGCAGTGTATCCATTATGCATTCTGGCTTGAGTAGGAAAACAGCTGTGATCAAGATTTTATTTTGAGATACGAATCAAGGTTCTGTGTCTGACGAAGTGCCAGTGCAAGCTTGAAAGAAGAACGGTTTAGATATAAAGTTTAGTTGAAGCCTTTCCTTGTTTACAGCCTAAAGATTTTCCTAATCATCATAAGCGTAAATAATGAAAATCATGAAACAGCTGTTTTACAGTTCAACTCTGTTCAGAAGTATGCACACTTAACTTTACCATATAACAAATAACCTCTTACTATGTCACTAAGTCTAAAAAATACCAATAAATTAAGTATATATAATAAACAGTAATCAAAATACATAAAACTATTCTGCACAAAGCACCTCATATAAAGAATAATAATAAAATGTGTAAATACCAAATAAGCATAAAACCCTTCACCAATGAAAATAAGTCGCTATTCTTCTAAACTTCTGGTACTGTTGCAATACGAATATTCTTACACTTTTTTTTTTTTTT